AGCTCTGGCGAGAACCGAAAGCTTGGACTGGAAAGCAACAGAAGCGGCTTCGCTACGCTAGCTCTGCCTGTAAAGACGAACGGCTCGCACTCCAATGACCGCAGAAACCGGCCTACACGTGCAGTGCCGAAGGTGAAACTGTCGAATGAGCAGGAATCACACCTTCGTGTTTGATTAGGGGCGGGGGAGGAGAAAAATGGGATGGGATGGGATGGTATAACTAATGGATGCGGCTAAACTTATGCTTCAGGTGACGATGAAACATCCATGGGAAACGGCGACAAGATAAACGAAGGACACTGCGTGAATAAGCGCTGTTGCAACCTTCGACGGTATCGCTTGGTTCTCGGAAATAAAACGGATTAGGCAAAGAGAGGAGTGGGTGGTTTGGCATTCCTCGAACCTGTCCGTATCCTTAAGGGAGGGACAGAGCTGTGAGGGAGGAGGTCAAAAGTCCGGCCTTCTGTTAGGCACCGCTGGTCGTCCTGGATGCTCCAAACGCACAGAACAGCTTTGATTAGATTGAAAAAGAGAGGAGCTGGGACACAGTTGAAACTCGACCGAAACTGACTGGCCATCCCATGCGAAGGAGATTAGCTCGCTGGACGGGCTCGCCTCAAACAAGCGATGTGACGATCACCACCGGCCAGCAACGAACAGCAGAAAAAGCAAGCAAGAGACGAAGACGAAGAAGAAAAAAGAGAGCAAAAAAAAAAAAAAAAAAAAAAAACGGATAAAGCTTGTTCCTTGCATTCATGGGTCCCTCGGTGGACCCAAGAGTCGCAACCTTAAAGCAGTCTTCCAGAACACAGGAGAAGGAATTGAAGGAGGAGAGGAGGTCTCTCTTTTTTGTTTTCGTGGCTGATGCTGCTACATATTATTATTGTGTTTACCAGTCTGATACTGGAACGGTGGTGGAGGCCGGGGTTGAGGATCGATGCGAAAACTGGACGGTCCGCCATTGTGGTAACTCAAGGACGAGACGGGTTTTGTCTCCAGCTGCTGGCTCTCTGCTCTTGTTGACAACTAACTACCACTTTAGTTCACTGCTGAAGAGCAGGCGAGAGTTGGTTGGTCCGCGGTGTCATCGTAATATTCTAAATAGGGCTGAGATGCCCTTTCGAAGGATTGGAAGGAAAAAAAAAACGAAGACGGTGGCCGGGCCCCATTTGGACAGACAACCACTGATATGAGATGGTGGACTCTCCTCCTGCTCAGGGAACAGGGACAAGGGAGAATGGCGAGGGAGTCATAAACATGTGTGTCTGCTCATGGAGACAGGAACTACAGACCTGAGGCAGCCGCTAAAGGCCCGTTTCTGGGTCAAGCGTGCATTGCAGCCTAGAAGAGTCCATGGCCATGGTACGTATACCTGTACGGAGCACTCTTGCTGCCATACTTGAGTACAATTCCGTACAGAAGGGGAGATATATGGATGGGACTAACCAGGTGAACTATCTCCACTGCCTTGCAGCTGCGTATTCACCGTCATGGCCCAGAAACTTCTTCACCAGCAGGGTCACCCCATGTCCCTAGCCCGAGATCCCTAAATAACATGTGGCCAAACCGATGCCTTTGCTTTTTTTTTCGTTTATTTATTTTTTTATTTATTTTTTTTTTTTTACGCCCCTACCCCATCCTTTTCCTTTGCATTACAGGCTTCTTCGGACTGATGTTTGAAATGACGACGACAAGGACCGATCTCCGACGGCTGATGACAGGCATATCATACCAGGAAATGGCCCGTTATTCAAGCCGCCAGTGCGTACATCTTTATGACGTTGATACAACTCCGGCTGAAGCCAACGGCAACGGTATTCCCACCAGTGTGCAACGGCGACGGGAATCAATCTTTGGTCGAACGAGTCATTAGAAAAAAAAAAAAGAGAGATAGCTGATCAGGGCCTTACTATGCG